AGCACAGGTCCCTCTGCCCTGTCTGCACCATGCTGACCCCCTTGCTGCTGGCCTGCAGGGCCCAAGGGATGCCCTCTCTCCCTGGGCACCCCACTGCATCAGAGCTGCCACACTCTGTAGCTTAATAGCCGGGGGAGACATGTCCCATACAGTGCTGCAGGTGATGGGAACATCCCAGGGGGCTATGGGGGACAGGGGCAGCAAAGGAGGGTGCTGGGGCAGGGGTGCACCCACAGTATGGGGCGCTGGCACAATCCCCCCTTGTTGAGCTGCTGGCATGGCAGAGTCCATGGCAGTGCTGCTGGCTGCAGGCGGCAGGGGGGGGGGCGGTGTTGCCGTTTGCTGTCAGTTGCTGTTATAAATCAAGCCAGGCAGCCCGACCCCCAGTCCAGCACTGCCCCACAGCGGGGAGGGGACCAGCTTCCAGCTGCCCACAGCACAGCCCCACCATGCCCCAGCCTGTGCCCAACATTGTCCTGGCCTGGCAGGGATGCTTGGCCTGACACGGGGGTGAGGTGCCAGCACTGGTCCCCTTGTCCTGCTCCCACCCAGCACCATACCCAGCAGTGGGAGACCTGGCTGGGATATGGGGGGAAAGTGTCTCTCTCTGCCCATCCCAGTCTGTGGCTCCCACAGGCTTCCCTGAGTCTCAGCTCTCCCCCAGCATTCCCAGCGCTGGGAACGACTCCTTCTCTCTGGTTTTAATTTGGTTTCGGTTCGAATCAAGCTGAACCCAACATTTTTCTGTGCTTCCGGCACGCTGGGAGCTCTGCAGGGGCGGCTGCTGCTCCGTGAAATTGATGTTCTTGTCCACTTCACGCGCCATCAGGAATGAACAGCTGCTGGGGGCTGCCAGCCCTGGGGACAGCTCTGTGTGCCCCACAGCCCCAGGGGGGACCAGCACCCCAGGAGGGGAGCAGAAGAGGGGAACAGTGCTATGGGAGATTGTAGCACCAAACAGCCCTTGCAGTGAAACCTTGTGCTGGAAGTTGCTGGTTTCACCACGCCCGAGCAGGAAGGAACACCTGCGGGGGGCTGCCAGCCCTGGGGACAGCTCTGTGTGCCCCACAGCCCCAGGGGGGACCAGCACCCCAGGAGGGGAGCAGAAGAGGGGAACAGTGCTATGGGAGATTGTAGCACCAAACAGCCCTTGCAGTGAAACCTTGTGCTGGAAGTTGCTGGTTTCACATGCTGGGGCAGCATGGACAAACCCATGTCCTGGCACTGGCAGCACGGCCCTACAAGGTGAGGGGTGACAGTGACCACCACACCCTGCTCATACGACCTCAGTATCCATGCTAAGCACAGGCAAGGCTGCATGCGGGGCTCACCATGGTCCTGGCAGGTCTTGTTGGAAAGCAGAAAGATGGCAAAGCAGACAGTGATGCAGCAAGGGAGAGCAGCTCTAGGGCCAGATCCTGACCATGAGCTTGGGGGTCCCTTCTGTCCCCGCTTAATGACAGCAGGATGTTTAGGGGAAGGTGTGCCATGCCAGCTGAGACGGCCTGAGGCCAGGCTGCCTCTGGTGCCCAAGGGTCCTGTGTGAGCAGGTAGGTGGGCAGTGAGGCCTGGGCACGGTGGGGTCTGCCTGGCCCAGTGCAGGCAGCAGCTCAGAGAAAGCGAAGGCAAAGTGTTTATGGGTCGGATTAGGGCCACTCCAACCCCGGCTCGAGGCCTCGTGGTGTTTTACAATGCTCCGTTATGGGCTCTTAATGAGGGTCACAGCCACTTTATGGCACCGGCAGCGATAACGCCGCAACTAATTGCAGCACAATTAGCGAGCAGGCTGCCGGGCACCCAGCAACAAGCAGCACCCAGCCCCGGCCAGGGCCACCCCCCAGG